ACACCTCTCACCAGCCTCTCAGGTCTTTCTGACCTCTCCACCAGACCTGTGGGGGAAAGACCCTGGCACGCAGTGGGTTTCTCTGGGAGGAGGACGGGCATCCTTTCTCTCCCCAGCCTGAGTCCCGTGCTCTCACCCGGCCCTCCAGCCACTGTTCTGCTGTTGCTGCTGATAGCCTGCAGCTGCTGCTGCACTCACTGCTGCTGCCCTGAGCAGAGAGGCAGGAAGGTCCAGGTGCAGCCGACACCACCGTGACAGACAGGGGATGGCTGAGGAGAAGCTGGAGAGGAGATGACCAACGCTATGACACAGGCCATCAGCCTGGCCCTGCAGCCCTCACCCCTCAAGACCAGGCTCCCCTGGCCCCAGCTCTGGCCCGGCCCAGGTACCTGGACACTGACAACTTGAGCCCTACCAAGGAAACCAGGGCTGGTATAGGTGCAAACCTCTCATCTGCCAGTGGACACTGGGTGCTGGGGAGTCAGCTGTTTCAAAGACTGGGTCAACTGCCTGGGCTTCTTCGCCTACCTGCACTTTTTAACAAAACAAGGAAGTAGGGGTACCCATACCTTGATGGAGAACAGTCCCCACCTGTGGGCAATTGGCCCTTGGGGCTCTGCTGATCCATGCCAAAGAGGAGCAAGGCAATCAGAGGGGCTTTGTGCAATAGCTTCTGCATCCGAGCTCCTGCCACAGCGTAAGCATGTCAGTATTCTAGTCCAGTATTTGCCGGTTTCCAAGTAAAAGCTTTTGTGTTATGTTTCTGCGGTGCCGGACTCCCTGAGGTTGGGCTGGGCTCTGTGCATCGGGAGTGGGAATAGCTGGTGCCTGTCCTTCCCAGGCCTCTGCTTTCCCTGTGCCCACAAAAGCTGGAAAACCACGCAGAGAAGCGTGCCACACAGGCGGTAACACCACGGGACCCGTGGATGGTGCCATGAAATTCCTGTCATGCATCAGCTGCTAATGAGCTCTGCCAGGCCGAGGCACTACTCTGCAGTGGCAGAGACTGTGTTTGCCCAAAGGCAGGAGCTAGGCTCAGGAATGGCACTTCAATCTGCCCACTGCCTGCACCTTTGGCTTGCACACCCCACACCTTCCAGAGAACTTTCCAGGTAGAGCTACGAACCCAGGAGTGAGGGGAGGCTCCAGAAATGCCAATGGGTCCAGACAGAGCATCCTGAGGTGCCTCCCCGGGGCTTCCCCAGAGCCACGAGAAGTCTGTGTTTTTCACATGCTTCCATCATCTTGGCCTGCGACCTGGGAGCAGAGCCCTGTCTACCTGGGAAACGTCATGGAGAGGGGAATGCCAGCCACTGTCACACCCCCGCCATTTCCAGCTGGCAGTCCAGGCCACACTGGCAATAGCAGGCAGGGAGGGGAAGCTCTCACCCTCTGGTTTCACTTTCTAGTGTCCACGGACTTGTCTGACAGGTTTAGGTTAAAGACCTGGAGAGTAAATGTTTTCATACAAAAGAAAAGAAATTCAAAAATTTGCCCATTTTCAGCCCCCTCCAAAGAACAGGATTCAGAATGATGATGATGATGATGATGATGATGATGATGATGATGAAGATGATGGCTAAATTTACTGAGGGGTTACACATACTCAGCATCGTCTTCAGCATTTTGGTGCAGATAAACTCATTTACTCATCACAGTACCTCCACGTTGAAGATATCACTGTTACCCCCATTTTAGAGATGAGGAAACTGGGCCTCAGCAATGCTGGGTGACTTGTCTAAGTTCAACCAGCTGAAAAGCAGCAGAGCCTGCCTGAGTCCAGCCTATCTGGCTCCAGAGCCTCTGTTTACCACACCCAGGGCTCCAAGACCCAGAACTTGGCCTCCTGGATGCAGGACAGATAACGCTCTAATCCCATTATCCTCCATCAACCAACCCTATACCAAAAACACCCACACCCCAAACTCTGTCTCAAAATAATCTTCACAGGAGTGGGTGGGACCCAACAGGTAAGAGCTGGGGTGGTGCCCAATGAGGCACCCCTCCCAGAAGAAAAACACAGGAGAGTGGATGGACAGGAAACCCCGCATTTTTCATTCCCAGCAGCAAGGGCTGGGGGGTCTCCGGAAGCCTTCTGTTTGGGAGATGGTCAACAGGGAAGCAGCCTGGGTAACTTTTCCATAAGCCAGTTTTCATCAGCATAAGAATAGCCCTGCTCCAGGGCAGCTGAGGCTGAGGCCCTTTGCTAGAAAATATTCTGCTTCCCCAGCCCAGCTGCTCCAGGTGGGAACCACAGACAGCCCCAGGCACGGACAGGCCGAATGGCCGCTCCAGGGCAGGCGGTACACAACTGCTAAGTCCACACAGGATTCGGTCTCTGCCCTCACAGGACTCACTCCTCTCTGCTCCTTCGCCAACTGGCACACACCGGGCCCGGCTCTCAGGCCAACTCCTTCGTAGGCTTCAAACCCACTGAGATTAACCAGACCGGCTCTCCGACAGTAGCCCGGCTCGCTCCTTCAAGAAGCAGCTTCTCGTGCCGGTCTTCCCTAGGGAAGATGGGCACGGAAAGGTGGCAGCAGTTGCCCGACTGTGAGAAAGAATAAACAGAAAGATGCTGCAGACCTGGGTAGCCTAAAGATGGGCGGGAGCCATGGAAGGGGTGGCCATCAGGCTGGTTTCAGGTTCAGAGGACGTCTGACTTGACCACCACCTCTCTGTTCCCGCCACTGTGCCATCCTTGACCACGCTGCCATCAATGCTTACCTGTGGTCACTGCAGCAGCATCCTAAGAGGTCCCCACAATCATCTGGCCAGCCTCTTCATGCCCACCAGCTGTGCCCTCCGCTGCTCTTGGCTCCTCAAAAGGGCTGCCCTCTACTCTGAAGACCTGTGTGCCGTACTGTCTGTACATCATGCCTGATTAAAAGCTACAATCGTGGCTCCTGCCTGTAAACCCAGCACTTTGGGAGGCCGAGGCAGGCAGATCATTTGAGGTCAGGAGTTCGAGACCAGCCTGACCAACATGGTAAAACCTGTCTCTACTAAAAATACAAAAAAATTAGCCGAGTGTGGTGGTACATGCCTGTAGTCCCAGCTACTCGGGAAGCTAAGGCAGGAGAATTGCTTGAACCCAGGAGGCAGAGGTTGCAGTGAGCTGAGATCATGCCACCGCACTCCAGCCTGGGTGACAGAGCGAGATTCTGTCACAAATAAACAAACAAACAAAAAACTACAACAGACCAGCACAGTATATCACATGCATGTAATCCCAGCACTTTGGAAGTCCAAATGAGGTAGGATCCTTGAGCTCTGAAATTTGAGACCAGCCTGGGCAACATGGGGAGACCCTGTCCCTACAAACATAAAAAAAAATGAGCCAGGCATGGTAGCACATACCTGTGGTCCCAGCTAACTCCTGTGGAGGTTGAGGCAGGAGGACTGCCTAGGCCATGACAGTGCCACTGCACTCTAGCCTGAGTGACAGAGCAAGACCCTGTCTCACAAAAAAAAAAAAAAAAAGACAATAAAGCCACGGATACAAGAATCTCATTAGAAAAACTTGGCAGAGAGTATATATAAGTTTTCTCCCAGTCGGGCATGGTGGCACACAACTGTAATCCCAGCTACTCGGAAGGGTGAGGCAGGAGAATCGCTTGAACCTGGGAGACAGAGGTTGCAGTGAGCTGAGATCACCACTGCACTCTAGCCTGGGCTATGGAGTGAGACCCTGTCTCAAAAAACAAAACAAAACAAAAATTATCCAATTGGGGCCGGCAGTTAATTGAAAGAGCTGGTCAAAGCAACTTTCGTTAAAGAGCACCTAAGTTCTCTAAACATCTATTACTTTTTTACATATCTCACATTAAATGGAAATATACACACACCTATTCCCTGGCTGGTCTTCCTGGCCTTTTCTCTGAGTGTGGGCTTGCCAACCAGAGTTCCTGTATTGTTATTTTCTAGTTTTGGTTTCTTTAAAGCAGAACAAAAACTTAAAGTCATAGGAACTTAAAGGCAAAGGAATCTGGGTGTGAAAGCCTTCTGGGTTTTTACAAAATGTGAATGTTCCTATATTTTTTGAATCCTTTTTTTCAACAGTTTCTATTTTTATCTTTTTATTCCAGAAGTCACCAAAGTGATGTATATTATTTTTTTTTTGAGACGGTTTTTTTTTTTATTCTTTCGCTCTCGTCGCCCCAGGCTGAGTGCATTCGGGATTATATATCTTCTCACTGCAAGCTCCGACTCCGTGGTACCCATCTTTCCTGCCTCAGACTCCCTTTCTTTTTTATATCTATGTCTATCTCTTTCTTCTTTCTTTGTGCCACGTCTAGTTTTTTTTTTTTTTAGTAGAGTATGGGGTTTCACTTTAGCTAGGAGGTGCTCGTTCCTGACCTCGTGATTCTTTGCTCCCAAAGTGCTGGGATACTAGGCTGAGCCACCCGCTCCTTTCCTAGACATATGATATAAATTTGTTCTCCCCCGCTCGAGGTGACTCTAGACTGGTCGTCTGTTATTTAATCCATTCTTTTATTTATCTATCTGATGACCTTGGCTAAGTTATTTAACCTTTTCCTTTTTTTTTCTTTTGCTCAGCTATTTTTTTTTTTTTTATTTGTCTTCATTGGTTCTCCGGATGTATTTTAATTTTTTATTTTTTTAACTGCCTATGAACAGGTTTGGAACCTAACACTCTGATTTTGATAAGCATCGATTAAT